GGAGCCCCCCCGGCCTGTCCGTGGGCAGCGCGGGGCGCCCGGCGCTGGCGCAGCGCAAAGCCAGGCCAATATTGGGCGCCTGGGGAAATTAAATAAAAACCCAAACAAACCCACGCCCCCGCAGGCAACGTGATGTCGCTACCAAAACTGCGTTTCGAGAAGGGAAAGGCGAGCCCCTTACCTCCCGCAAGGCAGCGCGGTGCCGGCCGCCCGGCCTCCTGCCACCTCGCCCGACCCCGGCTCAACATCCTAATCCACCTCCTCCTCGTCCAGGGCTTCCCGGGACCAGGGCTCGCTTTTCCGGCTGCCTTCCCACTGCTCATCTCCGTCTTGCCTCCCCGTAACCGCAGCGGGTGAGAAGAGAACTCAACGGGCGGTAGAACAAGGGACATGAGATGCTCTCCCCGGAGCGGCCCTGCCCGCGGCCGCCCGGCCCGGCCTGTCCTGGTGCGGAGCAGGGGCCGCCACTCCTTGCCCACGTCTCTAGAGCTGCACAAGGTTGTCGAGCGAGGGCCTTGTCTCCTCTGTATCTGCAAAACACCCTGCCAGACATGGGAGGAATCATTCTTGTCGGTCCCACCGACTTGGGCAGAGTTTAGGTCCAGTCGGGCCCTGTATAAAAGGTGAGCAAGAATGTTTTACCATCGGTGCAAGGGAGGAGAGAGGGCCAACCTGTTGTGAAAGGCTTGCGAGGAAAGCAAAACGTTCTTCTGCCACATAAGCGGGGGGGGGAAGGAAAGGGAAAAAAATGCTGCATTGCTAGTGTTTCCAATTTTCACACATCTTTATTAATCAATTTCAAGATCAAGACAGTAATTTTGTTATCATCTGCTTGCCAATGACACTACTAGGTCTGGTTTGGTTTGTTATTACAGTGGTTTATTTCACAATGTTCAATCATGTCTACTTTGGTACATTTTCTAAAGTAGCACGGTAACCTGTTACGGAATGTGAGAAGCCGGAATGTGAGGCAGACTCTTTGTTCAGAATACAGATTCCAAGTTTGCCAGGAATCTCTCCTCTTTGATATGTATGGAAACCGGGCCAAACATAATGTCAGTGTGTTTTCAGTCTGTTTTCCAATTAACCAAACTACAATAACACATTTCTAGATGGTTTGCAGCTGTCTGGATTTGGGGTGGGTCTGATTCTTTAATGCAGAAACATAGCATGACACCACACTATCCTGAAATGCAGGATATTTCTTAGCAGTGCCTTTCCTTTTTTTTTTTTTTTTTTTTTTTAAGATAAAGCAAAATAAATTATCCCGAAGCAATGGAATTCACATTCCTCCATATGCACTGATGGATTTAAATTACATTTTAAATCTTCTTGTAGCTGAGAGATAGGAATAGCTGATGTGGAGGGAGCACTTTGGTAAATGTGTCAACCAACCAGTGCACTACTAGGATCTTTACCTCATGCTGATGTATGTTGGCCACCTCAAATTCAATGTATAGACATTACTGAACACACAGTTACTTGAGGTAATATGGTGTATGAATGCTAAAATGCTTAGGCTGGTAAGAATATTTTCATATGAACGCTGAATAGATAATGGAATAATAAAAAAAAGATGCATGTGTAGAAGCAGTGCGTTCACAAGTTCATGGTCCTGAAAAGAGGGGAAAGATTGTTTCTAGTTTTCTGGAAAATAAACTAGCTGGGACTGATGTACATATCCATCCCTCAGTAACAGGTCTGTATTATGAATTGGATCCCATTGTTTAAAAAAATAAGCATGTAGAGCTCTTTTTATTACATAACACATTCTAATAGTTTCAGTTAAAGTCACTTCACATTTCTATAACACTTGACAGGTTGACTATCTTCCTCTTTTATTTCCTAAAAAGCAAATGTAAGTATTTTCTTTTGCCTTACTGATACTTGCTCCAGATTTAGATCTTCTTGTTGCTGTTCTTTAAATGAATCAACAGACGTGGTTTCTCTTGCTAAACCATATATGAAAATTCTTAAATTTTTTATGTGTATAATTTGAAATGGATAATTTGTCACCCATGTATTTTCCTTTTCACATTGTTTGTTGGCCATTAGCTTCCCTACATCTTGCTGTGTATTCTGACCCTTGTCTTTGACCCTCTCCACATCTTGACCCCAGCTCTCTTGGAGTCCTTACTTCATGTGCTTGATTAGATTTTCCCTGAACACCTTTCACTTGAACATCAGCCTGTGAATACCTAACCCTGTATTACATCTGACTAAATGGGGACCTTTTTATGACCTGTTTCTCATGCTGCTTGTAAACTTTAAGGCAGGCAACCCTGCCTTAAAGAGTCAGTAACCTCAAGTCTCATTTTGTTGCTTCAGCACTGATGGTCTCTCTTGCCAAAACTCAAAGCATGATATGTCAGCAATCCTCCCTCCAGCCAAAGCAGGCTAGACACAGCTTGCCGTGGAGGCTGTCAACTCCATTCCATGTGTCAGCCTGAGGGATTCAAATGAGAGCAATGAAACGTGTTTTCTACCTCCAGAGTCTGTAGCCTCTGGCACCTACTGGTACAGGAGCAAAGGAGGCGCAGTAGCACAGCTGGCCTGGCTCAAGTCCCATGGTTTTACTCTTCATAGCAAATGTTTCTTATGCAGACTTGTCCCAGCGTATTTTACAATTCATTTAGAAACTGCAATGTTAAACCTACTTTAATTTTAGTACTCATTTCAATCCCTTTTTCAAGTTACAGAGCTGATCCAGTAGTCATTAAAGGGCAGCGTTTTGTGGCTTGCAGGGATCTGAATTCAAAGATACCCTGGTTTCATACCTCAGTAATGGGTCTTGAGCTTGGAAAAGGCATTAACTGTTATCATCTTAAACTAGTCTGCTCCTCTGTTACAATTTCACTCTGAATTGCAGAGAAGCCTATGTAGTTCATCCTTCTAACCATAAAAGGGGTCATAAAATGAACATGAAATGTGGATAGACAGCTCCAACTCTCTCAGCGCACAATCCACTTTTTTGTGCATTGTGCACTATCTCCTAGGGCAAAACACTGTCAAAAAAGTGACTGCTGTCTTTGAAAACTTCATCTTTTACCTACCTAAGGCCAGACACATACAGAAGAGCTTTCCATTACCAAGGGTTACCAACCTCTGTAGCAATCCAGAGTGATCTTGAAATTCCAGAGTGTCTCAGATCAGATAGTTTTTTAAATCAGCATCCTTGGTCTTTCTGTCATTCCTCCCGCTCTAAAGGGAGAATAATAAGGCATTCTTCACCGTAGTTTGGTATCTGCTATTCATGAGCTTATTTTGATGATAAAACACAAGATA